CCCCTGTCCTGTGGAGTTCTTCCCCGTCCTGTGGGGTTCTCCCCATTCTGTGGGGTTCTCCCCTGCCCTGTAGGGTTCTCCCCTGTCATGTGGGGTTCTCCCCCATCCTGTGGGGTTCTCCCCTGCCCTATTGGGTTCTACCCCTTCCTGTGGGGTTCTCCCCCATCCTGTGGGGTTTGCCCCATTCTGTGGGGTTCTCCCCCGTCCTGTGGGGTTCTCCCCTGTCCTGTGGGGTTCTCCCCCATCCTGTGGGGTTCTCCCCTGCCCTGTAGGGTTCTCCCCTGCCCTATTGGGTTCTCCCCCTTCCTGTGGGGTTCTCCCCCATCCTGTGGTGTTTGCCCCATTCTGTGGGGTTCTCCCCCATCCTGTGGGGTTCTCCCCATCCTGGGGTTCTCCCCTGTCCTGTGGGGCACTCTGAGTCAGAATCGACTTGATGGCAGTGAGTTTGGGGTTTTGTGTTAGTTACTTTATGGAAGCTCCCCAGTGACACAAATGGTGAACCCGCTCGGGTCCTGACCATAAGGTTGGAGGGTCACATCTACCCTGGGGTGCCTTGGAAGAATGTCCTGGCTGTCTGTTTCCAAAAACTCAGCCCCTGAAAACGCTGTGCAGCATAGCTCTACTCTGCTTCACACGGGGTCTCCATGAGTCCAGCTGGACTCCAGAGTCACCTGTCCCCAAGGTGGAAGAGAGACTGAGAGCTCGGGGGCTGTAACCTCCCTGTAGGACAGAGCGGGGCTGCTCCCGGAGGTGTCCGAGGCTGTGAACCTGTGTACGCACATGCGTGCGCACCCCCCCTTGAGTCTGCTCCTGTGACTTGTCCCCACCTTCCATCTCATCGGTGATCTCACAGGGGACCCATCGTGGATTGCAGAGTGTCCTGTCCTCACACAGAGACGAGCCTTCCGCGTTTCCCTCAGGACACGAGTCGGCTTCTCCACCCTAACATGGGCCACCTTCACATTTCCTCTGACAGTCTCCTGAGAGCCCTCTGCCTGGCAGAGCCCACACTGGGGCCAGAGAGGAGATGAGACTGTATCAGGACCTCTGGGGGCCGGGAGGAGGGTCACTGCAGTGTGTGCTCGGGCCTCCAAGCATGACACTTGGCAAGAGTAGCGGCAATGGCTTGAACTGTGTGAAGAAGACAAGCGTTTCTGGGTGTGAATTCCAGCCCCATCACCTGGACAGGTCTCTTTCCTGCTCTGGCCTGGGCTTCCTCCCCTGGGCGGTGGGGACTGCGAAGCCTGCCAGGCAGGGGTGTTGCAGAAGCGAGCCCACACCTAGCAACCTGCAGCCGCCACTCTACCAGTTTTAAGTTGGAGTCCTGGTTATTTTCTTGTGAATTCCATCAGTGTGCCGTTACTGAAAACGTTCTTGGAATTTCTTTTTTGAAATGGTTTTCAGAGCTTGCTACAGATCATGAGATGAGCTCAGTGGGAGAAATCTCTTCTCTTTGAGGATTTATTTGAGTTTTAGAAGCAGGTTGGTTTGGAGAATGAGATCAAGGTGGTTACTACCAGGTTTTTGATATTAAACAAGTACACTGCTGATGAGGTTTCCTTTGATGGAGTTGAAATCGTGGCATGTTCATGGAGGGCCTCCAGAGCACGTTCCATCTGCATGTTCCAGCCCAGGGCATTATGGATCATAAAGTCATTGGTGTTGAACATTGCCCAAATAAATTCAGGGTGCACACCATTCGCTATTGACGAATAATTTGCATTTGTTGTGTGCATCCAGTCGGTTCTGACTCATAACCACCCTGTGAACCTTTGAGGGAGCAGAAAGCCTCATCTTTCTCCCTCATGTTGGGCTCGAACTGTCGATATTGTGATTCACAGTCCAGTCCGTATCTTACAGACCACATCTCAAGAGGGTCGAGGTCCTGAAGAATATATTCAATCATGAATGAGCCGCCCAAATCTTACTTCAAGCCTAAAGAGAGCGTAGGGATCAACGGTTCAGGGGGCTGCCCTGTATTCGGGGTGGACTGGGGGCTGGTCCCCAGGAATCAGGGAAGTGGAGTGGGCGGACGCTCTCCAGTGATGTCCCCAGGTGGGGGGAGGAGCCAGGAAAGGACAGTGGTGGGTGGGAGGGAGGCATAGAGGGCTTCTAGGTTGCAGGATATGAAGTCACGGGGCAGGGAAATGGGTCTGTGGAAGGAGATGAGAACACTGCAGGCCAGCACTGTCCAGGTGTGGAAACCGGAGAAGGCTGGTCTCACCCATTTAGGCTCCAGGGACGGTGCTCAGGTGGCTACAAGGACCCCAGCATCTGGCCTGCGTAAATTCTCCATATTTTTAACTCTCCAGGGCATATAAGGTTGCAAATGTGAGGGGTCAAACCAACATAGAGGAGCTGTGGCGACCATGGGTCGTACGAGACACTGCCCAGCCCTGCGCCAGGCTGTCGTGACCACTGCCAGCAGGGCTGTGCCACCTGCATGCCGCAGCTCTTCAGGGGCCACCCTCCGACCTGGCTGCCACGTTCTCCTTCATCTAACCCATCTTCTCAGGTGATCTGCATGCAGATGGAATAAGTGAGCTGAAAGGACAGCTGCGGTGGGTCTGTAGGTTAAGGACTGGACTGTGAACCACAATGTTGGCAGTTCGAGCCCATCATGAGGGAGAAAGATGAGGCTTTCTGCTCTCTCAAAGATGTACAGCCCTGGAAACCCCATACAGGGTGGCTATGAGTCAGAACCGACTGGAGGCACACAGCATATGTCAATTACTCATCAACAGCTAATGGGGTGCACCTTGAATTTGACTCCTTCTATTGTAAATATTGGAATGACTCCCTGAGAGTGAGGAAGGAAGGAAGTCGAATGTGGGGGGGCCTAGATATTGGTGGAGGTCCCGGGCAGAGGCTATGGATCCTGGGAGGCGGATGGGGGTCCTGGGTGGAGGGTGTGCATCACGGGAGGCAGGCGGGGGTTCGGGTGGAGGGTGGGGTCCTAGTAGGTAATGAGCAGTTGGGATGGCCTGGCTGTGGAGACCACCTCGGCTGGACTTACTAGGTATTGTCCGTCTTTGCTGCCCACCATTGTGGGTGTTGAGGTCTTGGTACATGGAAGGCTGCCTGAGCTTTCAGGTGACAGCAGGCAGGGAGGAGGCATCCTGCTCAGTGATGGGTGGGTGGGCCCCCCGGGACAGAGCCACTGAGAGCAGATGGTGCTGCATCTTCCTTTTAGTTCAGTTACTTATCAAAATCATTGTGCCGTCGAGTCGGTTCCGATTTTTAGAGACCCTGTATAGTGTTTCCAAGGAACTACTTGTGGGTTTGAACCACTGACCTTCAGTTAGCAGTCCAGTGCTTATCTTACAGCCATACCAAGTCTCCTTATCAAAATTAGATGAGTTAAGAAGAATGTAAGTAAAATAATCTTTTCATTCTTTTAAATTCTTTCTTAGACATTGGTTTTGGGCCAATTTACTCTCTAAGGTTCTGCCTCATTGGGTTCTAGGGAGAATTGGGGAGCTCTGTAGGCAGACAGCTATGGAGAGTGTGCTTCCAGTGTGGCGTGGTGTGGCGTGGCCTGGCGTGGTGGTGTGGGGCGGGGCGTGACATGGGAGGGCGCTACACCATAAATAATGTTGTTATGTGCCATCGAGTCGGTTCCGACCCATAGTGACCCTGAACTGGGTTTCCGAGGCTGTAAATCTTCACAGGAGCAGAAAGCCTCATCTTTCTCCCGCGGAGCAGATGGTAGTTTCAAACTGCTGCCCTTGCTGTTCGCAGCCCGATTCGGAACCACTACGCTACCAGAGTTCCTTCCATGGGAGGGCCCTACACCGTAAATAGATGCACATATTCACAGTGGGCACTTTCCTTTCCAAGTCACAATTTTGTGTGGTGCTAAAAATGTCCATCTGTGTGTACTTGAGTGCCTGACTGATAAGAAAGAAGACGGGATTGAGTGAAATGTCCTGAGGGCTTTGCAGTGGGGGTAAAAAATGCGGGCTACATTTATTTGCTTTGTGCTTTAACTTTGTACATTTTTTCGCACTGTGTTTAAACTCCCACAAACACAGTGGTTGAAAGCGGTACAGAATAATCACTGTACAGTTCTGGAGGTCCGGGGTCCACAAGGAGCTCAGTGGGTTATAATCAGGAGCTCAAGGAGCCGGCAGGCGGCCTGCCTTCCAGAGGCTTCTAGAGGCTGCCCACAGTCCTTGGCTCGTGGCTGTTGCTTCTACAACCCCGGCTCCTGCGGCCCACAGCAGGGAGATGCTCTCCTCTTTAAGGACCCCTGTGACTAGATTAAGGAGCCCCGGTAGCGCCGTAGGTTAAGCATTGGACTGCTGACTGCAAGGTTGGCAGGTGAAACCTAGCCGCCGGCCACTCCTCAGGAGCAAGGTGAGGCTGTCTGCGTCCGTCCCTAAAGCTTTACAGTCTCTGGAATCCTAGGGAGCAGCTCGCTGTCCTCCAGGGGTGCTGTGAGTAGGTGTGTGGGTGGCTAGACTGTACCCATCTCGATAGTCCAGGCTCATCTCCCTACCCAGAAACCCCTCTGTCGTTGTGTTAAGTCTGACTCTAGTAACCCTGTAGGACAGGAGAGCTGACCCATGGGGTTTCCAAGGCTGTAATCTTTACTGAAATAGAAAGCCACACTGCCCTCCCAAGGAGCAGTTGATGAGTTCAAACTGCTGGCCTTTTGATTAGCGGCTGAGGTCTTTAACCACTGCGCCACCAGGACTGCCCTCTCCCTTGGTCAGAGTCCCCTTTGCCAGGTGAGGTGACAGCCACAGCTCCTCAGGGAGGGGTTGCCTACCATGGTGTGCAGGTGTCCGGCACAGACTTCCATTCCATGCAAGTTGTTTTCAGAGGAGCCAGGATCTGCTACTAGGTCTTCCAGAAACTTCCACCTGCTACTGTACAGAGAAGAGGAGCCTGTATTCCAAAGCTCGGAGCCACGGAAAGCTCGGAGCCATACATACTTGTCTGGGTCTCGACCTCCTGGGAGAGGCTGATGACTTGCTCTCTTGTTTGTTTCATAGTGACAACCTGCTGAGGAGAGCGGCCTGTCAGGAAGCTCAGGTAAGCCTCTTTTGGGGTAATAATAACCTCACCTCTTCTGTGTAGGGGGACCATGAGGTGCCTTTTGTCTCTCTGTCCATGCAGTGGCTCATGGCGACTCAGGCCAAAAACCAACTGAGCAGGGATCAGAGAAGTTAACCCGAAGGTGGGGAGGGGTCTTCCGCACCCTCCACCCCCCCGACTGTGTGTGGACCTGAATTGCCCCTAGAATATCAGATCAGAGGAGGTGTCGCTTCCACACGTCAAGCCCTCTGAAAACCCATGTAGCTCAGCAGCTCCGCTGACTCATCCGAGCACAACGCTGCCCGGCCACGCCATAGTCCTCTCTGTTTGACTATTGGCTGCGGTCGTGCGGTCAGTCCTTTCAGGCTGAGGACCACATTTGGGCTCGCCCCCACCTCCGCCTTTGTACACAATAACTACAGATGAGTTTCCACCACTAAGTAATGACGCCTAAATGATTCGGCGATGATGTCAGAAATTCAGGAGGGGAACAGGAAAGTCGGAAATGGCAGGCGAGGGATGCAGTTAGTGGGACAGGTGGGTGGGGAACCCCACTGGTTTCTGAAATGTGTTCACGGGGGACCATGACAACAGATGCTATTAATACACCCCTCTCCCTGGGGATGATCAGCGAACTGCTCCCAAGCTGTGTCCCACGGGTTTGGTTCTTTCTGCTTCATGTTTTCTCACACGCTTTTCAGCGCTTTCAAAAATCAGCTCCAGGAAACTTTTGTTTCAGCTCCGAGGAGAGTCCCATCCCAGCTAGCCACAAGCACTGGCAGCCTTTCTTCTCTCTCGAGAGGAGAGGAATCCACCTATCTGCCTGCTACCTGTCTGCCTGTCACCTGTCTGCCCATCTGTCACCCATCTGTCAGTCTGTCACCATCTGTGTGTCAGTCTCATCCACCTGTCTGTCCATCCGTCACCCATCTGTCAGTCTGTCACCATCTGTGTGTCAGTCTCATCCACCTGTCTGTCAGTCTGTCGGACTGCAGTGGTTTGCATGGAGCTGTGATGGTGGAACCTCTGACACCAGTAGTTCCCATACCAGCAGCAGCACCGTGGTGGACAGGTTCCAGCAGAACTTCCAGTCTACCCCGAACCAGCCAGGGACCACCCTATGGATCACAGCGGAATATTGTCCAACACAGAGTTGGAAGCTAAGCCCCTGGGTTGGGAGGCACTCAAAACACACAGAGACCGCCCCGGGGGACTCGAGCAGATCAGCGTCTGTGAAGAGGCCTCAGGAGTGGGCCTGGTTTAGTTCTGTTACATGTGGGGCCTCTGTGAGCCGGAGTCAGTTGAACCGCAGCTAAGCATAGACCCATGTGTGCCTTTCAGGTCCTTCCTTGGCTGTGGCTCCGTCTCCCCCTCCTTTAGGGACTGTGTCCTGGAAGCTTGCTCTGTGCTGTATCTACTCTGCTGCTGGTCTCAGTTGCCACTGCCTCACGCCTGCCTGGCGCCTTCCCTCCACAGAAAGAAACCTCTGGTTAGCTTCCCGCCTGGGCCCTCCCTTCACCGGCCCACTGCACCCTTGGAAGACGAGGGTGTTTCCCGCTCCTCATGTCCTTCATACTGCCGTCTCACATAGGCATCTGCACTCAGTCAGGGTTCCAGAGGCCCAGAAACCACAGGGAGGAATAATCTGGACTGTGGCCCCGTTCCAGAAAGAGCCCAGGTAAAACAAGCACAAGTCATCCTGTCTGGAGATTTGGCAGCAAAGTGGTAACTTAGCAAGCAGAGCAAAAGTTATACAAGAAACTTTTTACAAAGGAGCAACATACATCCCTGAAGTATCCAGAAACAGTTTTATTTCAGTTATTTTTTTAACCAAGCAATAGTGCATCTAGAAGGACTTCCCATGAGCCGTGCATGAGTCAGGAAGGTTGGCCATTCCGAGCGTGTTGTGTGATGCAGTCTTCAGGTGACATTTCTCTTTTCTCCGTTCTTTGCTGCGATTTCTTACTTTTGAACTCAGCATCTTGGCCGAGACCTGGCCCCGTTACCCAAGGTTCTGGTCTCCCTCTGCTGTACCCTCCTTGCCATCTGCTTGACCATCTCTAGTGCAGACCCCTACATTCTCACAGCTGGCCCTTAAAGATGCCCCATCACTGCATGTCAGCCAGTTCCAATCTTCCTGAAACTTGGCTTTCTTATCTGCGAAAGTGGGCTCATTCCAACAGCGTTAGTGTCAGAGAGCTCGGCAGAAAGTGGCTGAAAGTGGCAGACACTAGTGTGTGGGAGATAGGATTTCCACTCCTCTTTCCATGTTGTTGTTGGTGCCATGCCGTCAAGTTGACTCTGCTCCTAGTGATCCCATGTGACAGAGGGTTTTCTAGGCTGGTGGCTCTGTAGGATAAGCACTGGACTGCCAACTACAAGATCAGCAGTTCGAGCCCATTAGCCACTTTGCAGGAGAAACAAGAGCTTTCTACTCCTGTGAAGATCTACAGCCTCAGGGTTGCCGTGAGCCGGAGCCAACGTGATGGCTCTTAACAAAAGCAACAACAGTGCTCTACGGCAGCAGCTCCACAGGCCTGTTCTAACACATAGTGGCTGATGGGGTCAGACCACCAACCTTTTTGTTAGCACTGTGCCTCCAGGGCCCCTTCCCTGCTACCGTGTTGGTGTTGGTACGTGCCATCCAGTCAGTTCCAACTCAGAACGAGCCTAGACAGGCTTCCAAGGAGCAGCTGATGGGTTTGAGTAGCCAGCCTTGCAGTGGGCAGTCAGTCCAGTGCTGGTCCTTCAGCTCCCCACCAGGAAGGACTCGTCTTCCCATAAGACGCTGCAAAGGAGAGATGGCACAGTGAGTGTCAGCTGTAAAGATCTGGGGGCTAACTGGTAAATGCCAAGTTCGTCCCGAATAAGCTTTGTTACTGCTGCTGGATGCCGTCGAGTCAGTACCGACTCAGAGCGAGCGAGCTCATGCACAACAGAAGGAAACACTGCCCACTCCTGCGTCCTCCTCACAGCCGTGAAGCTTCAGCCCATTGCAGTCCATCTTGTTTGGGGCGCGGGAGAAGTGTCTGCCTCTTCTTCTCTGTCCCTCACTTTACCTAGCATGATGACCTTCAGGGACTTTATTGTTATTGTCAGGTGCCATCCAGTTGGTATCAGCTCATAACAACCCTATGCACAACAGCACGAAACAGCCCGGTCCTGTGCCAACTTCACAGTCGTTGCTACACGAGCCCATTGCTCCTACTGTTGTGCCAATCCATCTCTTTGGGGGGTCTTCCTCTTTTTCTCTGATCCTCCACTTTACCAAACATGATATCATTCTCCAGGAACTGGCCCTTCCTGACAATATGTCTGAAGTATGAGACACAAATTTTGGCCATCCTGGCTTCTAAGGAGCACTCTGGCTATAATTTTTCCAATACAAATTTTGTTCTTTTGGCGGTCCATGGTCCTTTTTATATGCTCTGCCAACACCATAACTCAAATGTATCACTTCTTCTATGGTCTTCTTTATTCATTGTTCAACTTTCACATGCACATGAGGCTATTGCAAATACAATGGTTTGGATCAGACTTAGTCCTCAAACTGAATTCTTTGCCCTTGACCACTTTAAAGAGGTCTTGTGCAACAGATTTGCCTAATGCAGCACATTGTTTGATTTCTTGACTGCTACTTCCGTGAGTGTTGATGGTTGATCTGAGCAAAATGAAGTCTTTGACAATTACAATCATCTCCCCGTTTACCTTGATGTTACGTATTGGTCCAGTGGGAGGGATTTTTGTCTTCTTTACGTTGAGGTGCAACCCATATAGAAGGCTGTGGTCTTTGATCTTCATTGATAAGTATTTAAGTCCCCTTCACTTCCAGAAAGCAAGGTTGTATTATCTGCATATCGCAGGGTGTTCATGAGTCTGCCTCCAATCTTGATGCCACTTCTTCATATAATCTAGCTTCTCAGACTATTTGCTCAGCGTACAGGTCGAATAAGTATAGTGAAGAATACAACCCTGGCATACACTTATCCTGATTTCAAGCCATTCAGGGTCCCCTTATTCTGTTTAAAATGACTATCTCTTGGTCTATGTACAGGTTCCTCATGAGTACAATTAAGTGTTCTGAATTTCTCATTCTTCTCAATGTTGTCCGTAGCTTGTCATGATCCACATAATTGAAAATCTTTGCATAGTCAATAAAGCGCAGGTAAACATCTTTCTGGTATTCTCTGCTTTTATCCAAGATCCATCTCATGCCAGTAGTGGTCTCCCTCATTCCACATCCTGGCCTACTTGAACATCTGTCTGACAGTTCCCTGTCAATGTACTGTTACAGCCATTTACAAATTATCTTTAGAAAAATTTTACTAGTATGTGGTGTGAATGATATTGCCCAATGATTTCTGTGGTCCTATCATATAACATTAAGGAGCTCTGGTAGCGTAGTGGTTACGAATCGGGCTGCGAACCTTAAGGTCAGTGGTTCGAAACTACCAGCCGCTCCGCGGGAGAAAGATGAGGCTTTCTACTCCCGTAAAGATTTACACCCTCGGAAACCCTGTACAGGGTCGCTATGGGTCGGACCTGACTCGACGGCACTTAACAACAACAACAACAACATACTCCCGTAAAGATTTACACCCTCGGAAACCCTGTACAGGGTCGCTATGGGTCGGACCTGACTCGACGGCACTTAACAACAACAACAACAACAACAGTCATATAACATTATTACTCCGGTCTTCAGATTGGGCACAAATACGAATCTCATCCAATCAATGGACAAAAATGAGTGAGTGCCTCCAGTGCTGCATCAGTTTGTTGAAAGATTTTAATTTATATTCCAGCAGTTCCCAGCGTCTTGTTCTTGGCCCGTGCCTTCAGGGCACCTTGAACTTCTTTCTTTTCAAGAAGTCAGCTGTCCTTCAGAAACCCTATGATGGTGGTGGTGGTGTGCCGTGGAGTCTGTTCGGACTCACTGTGACCCTGCACAGGGTTTCTGAGACTTTAAATCTTTACAGGAGCAGAAAGCCTCATCTTTCTCCCACGGAGTAGCTGGTAGTTGCAAACTGCTGACCTTGAAGTTAGCAGCCTTACTTGTAATCACTACACTACCAGAGCTCCTTCAGAAACCCTATACAGGGTCGCTATTAATTGGAACAGACTCGACTGCACTTAACAACAACAACAACATTGCAACGCTTAGCACACTGTACCACCAAGGTTCCTATGTAACCTGTTTCTGTTGATGGCATTTGTGTTACTAACGAGCAGATACAGGGTCTGCTGGAAGGAGCTGTGTGCTCACAGGCGGATGGAAAGGACATTTCTTCACCATTTTTCTTTTTCTCTTTCAGGAGTTTGGCAATCAAGTCATCCCTCCCAACGCCCAAGTGAAGAAGGCCACGGTCTTCCTCAACCCTGCGGCTTGCAAAGGGTGCGTTCAGTCCTTTTAGCATTTGTTACACATCCGGTTGCTAAGGGGAACACGTATGACAGATGTAGGCAGCTAGTGAGAAGGTGGGGCTAGAAGACCCAGAAATGTGGTTTTAAAGTAGAAATAGAAGTTTCCATGGAGTCGTAACCATAAAAAGAATGGGTGTTTAACAAACAGCTGTATTTGAAGTTGGATGATCAGTTCAGAATCCACACACCCAAACAAGTCTTCTCTGTTGGGAGCCTGTGGCTGTGTGCCCACCACGAGGCCCCTCGGCAGCATGCTCTCACTTGGCTGCTCACTGGAAGGTTGAAGGTTTGAGTCCACCCCGAGGTGCTCAGCCATCTAAAACCCCATGGAGCACACACGGTCCCCATTGCTGTGAGCAGCTGGACTGGGTACCCACTGGTGGGTTTTGTCCTCGGTTCAGCGCAGTGGACTTGGGACCTCAGAGTGTTTTCTTAGGAGGTGGGCATGGACTGAGGAGGTGTTGGGGGAAGCCTGAAGCAGTCAGCTGGCCCCAGAGGTCCTCGCGGTGGGGTTGTATGCAGAAACATGTGAGGAGCACTTGGGCCCAGGGATGAGTGTCGAGGCTGACAACATCTGGACAGAGTGTGGCCGTGGCACATAGGTTCTTTGGGCCTGGACGCCAGTGAGGGCATCCTAGGAGGTGCTACCTTCATCATGAAATCTGTCATAATGGTTGGGTGAGGGACTCCACCGCAAGTTCAGTTCCTGTTGTTTGAGGGTTTTGCCCACAGATTGGCCGAATGGTCTCCACTACCTCAGTGCTCCAGTCAGATTTCTGCCCTGTCAGAGCCGCCTCCTACCTCCCCCCGCCCCCCCTCCCGTGAGTGTCTCTGGTCCCAACAGCACCACCCAGTGGACAGGTGTCAGCACTGCACAGTCCTGGCACCAGGCTCTGTGTGGCCCGAGGCAGCAGGTGGAGCTGAACCGCAGGCTCGTGCTGAGGACCCAGTTATTATGTGACTTCACAAACCCTCAGTTTGCACAAACGATGTGTTGCATTAGGCAAATCTGCTGCACAAGACCTCTTTAAAGTGTTGAAGAGCAAAGATGTCAGCTTGAGGACTAAGGTGCACCTGACCCAAGCCATTGATTTTCAGTACCCTCATATGCATGTGAAAGCTGGACAGTGAATGAGGAAGACCATAGAATAATTGATGCCTTTGAGTTATGGTGTTGGAGGAGAATATTGAAAGTACCATTGACTGCCAAAAGAACCAATAGATCTGTTTTGGAAGAAGTGCAGCCAGAGTGCTCCTTGGAGGCCAAGATGGACAAACTTGGTCTCTCATACTTTGGACATATTGTCAGGATGGACCAGTCGCTAGAGAAGGATATCATGTTTGGTAAGATAGAGGGTCGGAGAAAAAGAGGAAGACACCCCCCCCCCCCAATGAGATGGATTGGCAATGTGGCAACATCAGTTGGCTCAAGTGTGGCAACGGTAGTAAGGTTCGCCCAGGACTGGGTAGTGTTTCGTTCTCTTGTGCATCAGGTCTCTATGAGTTGGTACTGACCCGACTGCACCTAACAACAAGAAGAAAGATGGGAAAGCAGGTTAATGGACTGCAAGCTTGGCTTGAACCACTAGGTGGGTGGTTCAAGCTCACCAGTCACTCCTCGGAAACCCTATAGAGGGCTGCTCTGAGTCAAAAGTGACTCAGCTGTGCTTAACAATAGCAAAAAGATGGGAACGTGTAGTTCTGTGTCTCGCTGTAGGATAAGCATTGAACTGCTAACCAAAAAGTTGGTGTTTCATACCCACCGGCAGCTCCTTGGATACAGGATCACTGTGAATTGGAATTGACTCCACAGAACTTCACAAGATGGGAAAAGTAACAGCATGTACAACTGTCGTATGGGCTCTGGGGCTCACTGAGGTAGTGCCTGTAAGTCCTCAGCATGATTTCCAAGACACAGAGCACGTGAGTCTTACTGAGAAGGAGAGAAGCGTGTCCTGCTGTTGTCCTTGTGGACCTGCTGGTGCAGTGGGTGAAGCTACACCACGGGAGAGAGATGCGGTCATCCGCTTCTGTAAGAATGACCACCTTGGAAACCTCTAGGGTCGCTGGGACAGACGGGGTGGCGCTGTGCAGGTGTTGACATTATTACTGACCTCTGACCCTGTTCCAGCCCTCCTTTACTCTCTCCCACCCCAGAAGCACCGCTCCTCCTTGGGCCACGTGGGTTCCCTCCTAAGGAGGCCTCGTCCATCAGTAACTTGGTGTTTCAGCTGTGCCTGGTCATTTAAGGCTCTATTTTGACAGGTGTCTGCATTTTTACATGTCAGTACACGTGCAGTTTTACAAGTAGGTGCTTGTTTAAAAGTGTAGTACCAGTACCTTTGAGGGACTCTATGAATCGTAAAGTGTAAACCCAGGCTACCCCTCCCTGCGCCCACACTGTACTCCGACTTTACAGAATCAATAAGGAGCTCTGGTAGTGTAGTGCTTACGAGTCAGGCTGCTAACCTGAAGGTCAAAACTACCAGCCGTTCCTCAGGTGAAGGATGAGACTTTCTGCTCCTGTAAAGATTGACAGCCTTGGAAACCCTATGCAGGGTCACTATGAGTCGGAACCGACTCAACGGCACCCCGCCACCACCAGCAACCCCACCAGGCAGGATCAGTGGGGTCGTGGTGTGGCACTGCAGGATGATGCATGAACCGCAAGGTCAGTTTGAATGGCAGGGTCAGCAGTTCAGATCCACCAGGTGCTCCTCGGAAACCCTAGACAGGGTCACTATGAGTCAGACCGATTCGATGGCACTTAACAACAACAACCACAACATAAGGGATCAGATTCACCACAGCAACTCAGAAAGTGACCCCGTGGGGGAGGGGCAGCCGGAAGAGGACGGACCCACCACTGTCATCCATGTTACTGAGTGGTCCACGTGGCCTGGTGCAAGGTCTAATGTATGTTGTTGTTTAGTGCCATCGGGGTGGTTCCTACTCAAGCAACTGGTGGATTGAACCGCTGACTTTGCAGTTCCACCTGGCCTTGTAGTCCAGTGCTTATCCTACAGTGCCACACCAGGGCGCCAGTGTGTGTATGAGGGTTTTCAGAAGCTGGTGGAAAAACTGAATGAAAAGATGGTGTCATTTTCCTACCAGGTTTTTGGAGCCCTTTGTATTCTCAGCAACACCAAAAATAAAATTCTCGGCAAAGGGTAGTCTCAGTACTTGTTGTCGGGTTGATTCAGGCTCCCGGTGGCCCCACGTGGGCATCCTTGAACTGTTCTAAGGGGCTTTCGAGGCTGTGACCTTTCAGAAGCCGGTCTTCCGAGGTGCCTCTGAGTGGGTTTGAACTGCCAACCTTTCTGCTAGTACACTGAACACACAGTCATCTACTTTCTTGAAGCTCCCATGCCGTTTTGACCTAGGACTCCACAGTGAAAGAGGTCCATGAGAAATTGTCCGTAATGTGTCAGGGCAGAGCCAAGTGGAGCGTTTAGCACTCTGCGCCACCCGGCGACACCTTTACCACTGAGGTGAAATGGGCTTGACGACAGTTCACAGCAACAGCAGCACCGTGTGGTCCTGAGTGTCTGGAGTGTGCTGTAAAACAGTATCAGTGGGTGGGGACCGTGTGCTTACCACTGTTGGTGAGTACCACTGAGTCAGTTCTGACTCATAGTGACCCTGGATTCGGTTTCCAATGAGCGGCTGGTGGATTTGAACCACCAACCTTGTGGTTAGCAAGCCTGGCCCTGCTGTCTTCTCCGGGTTCCCTGGGACCCATGCAGCCTGGAGGCTGTGGCTCTGAAGTTCCCACTTTCACGCCTCAACTGCACCGTTTTTGTCATCTTAGCTCTGCCCTGACACATCGTGTATAATTCATCAGGGAGCTCTTTCATTACGGAGTCCTGGCTCCAAACGGCTTTCAGAAATCAGATGGCTGTGTGTTCGGGATTAGTAAATAATATATCGACGAGCCACTGTGTTTGTGTTTGTGTGAACGTGGAAATTGCTTTAAGTACGTTAAAGTTCTTCAACCGAGCCCTCTCTCCCCTTTCATCATTTAATTAATAATGCATTTCGTTTCTTACTGGTGACGTTTGCTCTTCATCTTTGAGATGGAATCTTAGAAGGAAAGAGTCTCCACTTTCGGGCTAGACGTTTTTCTGACCCATTAGTGGAAGGCACAAGTACGGCCCAAATGTTCGAATCCTTTTTTCTGGGTGTGCTGTGATTGATAATGGCAGATGGAGGCTGCGTCAGAGCTCGGCGTCTCAGATGGGGATTTCATCCATTTCCAGCTGTTGCGTTCCTCCTTGTGAATCCAGTAGTGACATTGGGACAGGTGGGCAACAGCCCCAGTTCAGCCTCTTGTGGTTGTTAAGCGCTGGCGAGTCGGTTCCGACTCAGTGACCCTGTCTAGGGTGGATTCAAACTGCCAACTCTGCAGTTCACGGTCCATGCTGATCCTACAGCGAGTCAGTTCTCACTCACAGTGACCCCATGTGTCAAAGTATAGCTGTGTTCTGTAGGGTTTTTAGTAGCTGATTTTTCTTAAGTACATCACCAGGTCTTCCTTCTGAGTCTCCTCTGGGTCGACGTCACCTCCAACCTGTTGTTAGCCCAACATGTTGACTGTTGACATGCAGTTAAACTTCTTGTACTTAGTAAAGGACACGCCGTGTTCAATAGTCTGTTTCTTGCGGTTAGGCATCTATTCTCCCTCTTGGGAAACTCGTGTTTGACATATTTTAATTTGTTTCCTTTTGTCTACAGAAAAGCCAGGACGTTGTTTGAGAAGAATGCTGCCCCGATATTACACTTGTCAGGCATGGACGTGACTGTCGTCAAGGTGAGGAGGACATGAGGGCGTGCTAACCCAGGCCACCACCCTATGACCTGTCCCTCTGCAGAGATGGATTTTCACTTCAGACAGGGACCAAGGAAGTCAGTGCCCTGTCCCTGAAAGAGACTTGGTCAGCTTTTTGTATTCCGAGTAGGATCAGATGGAGGCTTGGAGTTATATCGTGGCCTTTCATCTGAGAGACAAGATGCTAACATGCTAACTCTGCGGAGATAAAAGTTGGTATGGTCTATGTAGTTCTAGTGTTTTTAAGTTTCTTGAGGCTGGTTTTAGCATGTACTGTTGTGGCACTGTAAGGTAAACACTGGACTCATGACCAGAGGGCAGTGGTTCAAACCTACCAGCTGCTCCTCGGAAACCCTATGCAGGGTCACTATGAGTGGGAGCCGACTCGATGTCACTTAGCAACAACAACCTGTGGTCATAAATGGTCTGTGTTTGCCTTAAGAGAACACTGTCAGTTGTTGGGCACCTTGTTGTTGTTGAGTACCGTCAAGTCAATTCCAACTCATAGCCATCCCCGTAGAATGTGTCCAAGGAGCGGCTGGTGGGTTTGAGCTGCCTACCTTGCGATGCTTTTCTGACCGCACCACACCAGGGTCAAGACGTCTGTGCTTTTACTCTTTCATCTGCTTTATCTATAAACTACAGAAAAAAAGAGTGTTGGAAATCCCTACCACCTTACCTGTGCTTGTGGATTTGTCTTCTTATTTCTCTGGATAGTTTTGACAGGTTTTGCTGTTTATAATGTTAGACTGTGTAATTAGGTGCACTCAAGTGTAGAATGATTTTGGTTTTCATGGTTTGATCTTTTCATAGATCAAATTAATACTGTATGTAGTATTAAAGCATTAACATTAAACTTATTGCCACGGTTTTTCACATCTGGTACTAGTATTTAACTATCATGCTAGCTTCCTTGATTACTTTTTGCCTGGTATAATTTCTCCATCCCATCACTTTTATCCTCTTTTTTTTTTAACCTTTGTATCTTAGATGTGAAAAGGAGCTCTGGTAGTGAAGTGGTTATGAATCGGGCTGTGAACCTTTAGGTCAGCAGTTCAAAACTGCCAACTATTCTGTGGGAGAAAGATGAGGCTTTCTGCTCCCATTAAGTTTTTTTTTGTTTTTTTTTTTTAATTTAAGGTTTTTATTGTGGATTGAGTGAAAGTTTACAGGGCACATCATCAGTTTCACATTCAACACTTCATATAACTTGTTTCATTACATTGATTTTTAATCCCCTCCATATACCATCAGTTAAAAGTATTTCTCTTTATCCACTTTAGCTTTTTTTAAAAAAACACACAAACAAAAAAAACCTACTTAGGCATATATAATAA